AACATTCGACCAATATTGTCAAAAATTTCCCTTCATCTATCGCCATAGAACTTAAGCTAAGATCATGACATAAGACCTTCTATAATCTTCATCCCAATGCAATATATCTGTCGCATGTACTGATTACCAGTTACATAAAAAGAGCGGACACACGTATGGTAGCATCAATGAAATTTTCAGAAACGGTAACAAGTACTGAGCATATTCCCAATCACGGACGTAGGCAAACCTTTGACCTGTCCCCACTAGAAAGCTCATCTTTGTACTTACTCTTTCTATTCCATTAATTCAAATGCTTTCTGGAATTTAACTGCAGTATCCAACATCAAATAAGTAGAGTTCAACTTGTTTCTACATCAAGCACAAATGACTCTTACTTTCAATTTTTTCTTCTCCACACACTCCATAAATCTCATTAAACTTGCTGGAGAAGACCTACATCTCCACTGCAGCGAATCTAAATATGGAGTGCATCCATATCTTTTAACCCTCTTTACAATCAAACTTAGTAGTGTGCACAACATCTCATGTGAAGAAATTGACCACCCAAGACATTTCCCTGCCAACTTGATAACCGAGTCCTAAGATAGCTTATAACACATCATTAGAACTTGCATTGTCAACCGTACTGTTAATACTTTAGAAATACCCAATCAAGCAAGCATCTCTCCACTGCTTCCCAATGATTAAACCTTATGACTACTTATAGGACAAAAGTTCAAAACTCCTTTGTGTAGTTGCCAATCGTCATCGATGAAGTGAGCCGTAAGACACATATAGTTGAGGTTCTGACAACTTGTCCAGTATCAGTAGTGAGACAAACTGTGTATTGAACTTACTAAAAAACTCTTTAGCTTTTCACGCTCATCAATATAAATCTTAAACAATCGTAGCCACAGTCTTACGGGAGGGCTTTGAAACCTAGGTTGTGCCGCAGTCATCACACGGCGAAACCCCTCACGCTCCACAAATTAAACGGTAGCCATCGATAATGATCATTTGGGCAATAGTTTGTCTAATAAAATCTTGATCAAATTTCCATGACAACACATGCAGATTGTGTAGAGGTGGCAACCTCACTTGAGAGGCCACGTGATGCTGCTGAAAGAATAACGTTCGTCTCCATTCCACCACATCAAAGGATACTTTTTACACCTACTTAAGTGGTTACGTAGACAACTGTACCACTTTACTTGGGCAAGCAAGAACATTCCCACAATAGTTACATGTTGCCGTCAAATCATCCTTCTCACACTCATTTTTGTGAAGTGATCCCACATTCAGATGTATTCTTCCTACTAATAGTCGATTTCGCACGTTTGGGATAAAGGGATGGGTGGTCTTGGTGTAGGTGCTTCAGTGTGATGTGAAGTGTCAAAAGTGGGTGTGTTGTTCTCACTAGTCGAAGATATCTACAATGGCATAAAAAAGGAAGATGCATTAACTATTTGTGGTTAGTCAATGCCCAATAGTCTAAGGCACCATGCATATATTAATTTAAGAAGCGAAATCTTGTAACAATCAAAGGGATATAACCGAAAATTGACATTGGAATTGGAATTGGAAATAACTAACATTTCAACATGTACACAAAATTACCCATGTAATAAAGCTCACTAACTTTTTAAATCAGCAGTACTTGGGACTTCCGCACTTGAATTCCTGAAACGATAATTATACACAAAAATCAATAAAAATAATGAACAAATAAAATACAATTATACTAAAAAAGAAGTAATTAATTACCCAGGGGGGACAACTTCCGTATGATCTTTCAGTCCTTCAATAGGATTGCACACGTTCATTTTGAGAACTAGAATTCACAAAAATAAAAAAATAATAATCAATACTTAGGCAGCAACCACAAACAATCAAACACCCAAAAGGCCTCTATTCTTATTACACAAAAGACCAGAAATTAAAGAAGTTTGGCACCAGAGCCGTCCCTGATACAAGCATTGCCATCCTAAGTAATATTGTTACTGTCTTCTAAAATCATAATTATTTGATTACTGAGTAATATTAAAAAAAAAAACATCAAAAGCTACCATACTGGCAACTGGAGCCCAAAGAAGCACTTTAACTTTAGAACTCATCAAAAGCTACTAAACTTATCCACAAATAAGCACTTCTCAAATATAATAAATATAACTCTAAATGCATAAAAAATGAATCTGGAAACAGATGAATGGGATTTCAATTTTATATTACTGTCAAAGTATATACATATCATTCCAAATCATATGACAGTAGACACCAAGGATAGCTCCCAGCTCCATCATCAATCCTCACCGGCTTTCCCTTGTGCCCACTGAAGATTCTGACTCTTCATTGAAAATCTCATCATCATCATCAACAATCACACCACCTTCATTGTTCAAGCTCATGTTACTACTACAGTAGTGGTACTCCGCTCACACTCATTGTTTCTCTCTGAATCCATTTCTTTAACCCTTTACACGATTTATTGCCACGATAAATTGATAACTCTTGAAAACTCTTTTAATCTTTGTTCTTGGATTTCCTTAATACTTTTGAGATAAGCCCTAAAATTGAGTTTTTTTTTTTTTTAAAAAAATAAATATCAGCCTGCCTATCCCGTCAATGGTCACCGACTCACCACAAAACAAAAAAAAAAAGCCAAAGAAGAATTGCTCACCCACGGAGACGAGCTGAAGGTGGAGACTTGGTGAAGAAGAAGAATGGTGCCGCGACTAGCGACAGATCTGAGAACTGAGAGTGAGAGATCGGCGTGACCGCGTGACCACGTGACTCCGGCGTGAGAACTGACAATGAGACAGAGACTCTGAGAGTGTGAGAGAGAGACTAACGGTTACTGGGGTCTGAGGTGACTGTCTGAGTACCGGCGCCGGCGCGAGTGCGTGAGATCTGAGTACTACCGTACTGGAGCATGGAGCTGCCGCTCGCGAGCTGGAGAGTAGAGCTGCCGTCTGCCGAGCTGGAGAGTGGAGATTGGAGTAGACTCGTACTGGAGCAGTGGAGCTGCCGTCTGCCGAGCTAGAGAGTGGAGAGTGAAGATGGAGTAGACTCGACGACTCGTACTGGAGCAGTGGAGCTGCCGTCTGCCGAGATGGGAATGGAGATGGAGTGACGACTGGATGGTAGTGAAGACTGATGAAGAATGAAGGTGAAGCCGTGAAGGTAGTGAAGTCTGAAGTGAGTGTCTGAGTCTGAGACAGTGAGACTGACTGACTGAGTGAGATCGTGAGACTGTGAGAGTTGAGACTGTGAGTGGTGAGAGTCTGAGAGACTGAAAGTGTAAAACAGTAAAAGCGTGGTTAGGGTTTGGAATTGCAAATGCCAAATGCAAATGCAAAATAAAATGAAAAATAAAAATGCAATAATTTTAAACATTTCGGTTTATAAAACCGGTTTCGGTAACCGGTTTTTCTTTTTAAAAAAACCGAAACCGAAAGAATATCCGGTTTTTTAAATATCCGAACCGAAACCGAACCGAAATCCAGAAAAAACCGAATTTTCGGTCGGTTTCGGTGGTTTCTCGGTCGGTTCGGTTTTCGGATTTTTTTTTCCACCCCTAATGCAACTAAGTGATCCTATTCCTTTTTCCTTTTAAAATCAACCAATTGGAGTCCTATTCCTTGGCAAAACACAAGATTTCGGGTGAATTCCTCAAGAAATTAGAAATTTCATGAGATTGAAGATATTGGATTTAAAGCAAATAATTTGTTATTTGCCTGTAATACTGGCAGCGCTGGTTCTTGGCACTTCTATGCAAGTGGACAACCATTCTTAGGCCTAGTCCCTAAAGCTCGAGAAATTGCAGAAGCTGGTTTAAGTCCTCCTAGGAGAAAGAGTGTAGTATTCAATCCAAGCAAACAGAATCACAAGTAATAACAATAAAGTAAAAGCAGAAAAGAAAATAAGGAACACCAGGATTTATAGTGGTTTGGTAATCTATCAGATTACCTACATCCACTCTTCAGGACAGTAAGAAAGATTTACTATGAAAAATAGGAAAAACCTTATAGAGATTTCAGCTCACTCCTTTACACATATCAAAACCCGAGAAAGGACCATCTGTAATACACCCGAAACCCAGATGTTTCCTCTCCACTCATACATCAAAAACAACCAGAAAATAGTGAGATTTATACACAAGATGTAAGGGAAGACATAAAGTACAGCTAAGACCTACCACCATCATTTGATTCCATCAACGATCTTCAAGGTTCCAGCACATCCCAAAATCGTAACAACCTTTCTCTCTCTGTAACCAAGAGAATAAGATCGAGAATGAAAACTCGATCCAACAAAACCTAATTTAGATTAGGTTTATTGACAATAGGAAAAGCCATAAATGCCCCTTAGCTTTTAACAAATAACTTTGACCATTCCAAGTTATAGGTTGACTTCCACGTAGGCATAAGTCAATGCCACATCACAACATTGTGTTTAAGAATTTTGGGAATTGATCCCGTTTGAGTGGTTTGCTGGGGATGATGGTAGAAATGCAACCTCAACTATCGAATGAACTTATCAAAATAATGGAACAAAAGTTATTGGCTATAAAGCGCAGGAGTGCTTGTCTTGAGAATGTCATAAATCGGGTATATATTATGGATCTTCAATTTTCTAAGGTTTCGTTTGGGTTTTAACGCTATGATTATTATGCTTTTTGTAGTGTTTGTATTCCTTTAGTTGGAGGCTTTAAATGGTTATTTAAGTTTGTTTTGTTCTGTTTCTATTTGTGATACAGCCAGAAGCTTCACCAACAGAGTATTCTAAGGCTAATAAAGAGCTTCGGAAAATCAGGGGTTCAATGAAACTTATAAATGAATTGAGGACCAAACAGAAGGTGAACTGCTGTAACACCTTGAAGTCATTCATCCATTTAGGGAAATGTGATATGCCCACGAAAGTATGATNCTGATTCTTTTAAAAATCTGAACAAATTAGAGATTTTGCACCTTCGTGAAAACCATCTTTCTGGTACCATTCCCCAGGAAATAGGAAATTTCATGCTCACTTATTTGGAATTAGACACCAACAACTTCACTGGTCAGTTACCCCATAATATATGTGTTGGTGGTTCACTTCAACAATTCAGTGTGAATAGCAACAATTTTTTCGGTCCAATTCCCAAAGGCTTGAGACATTGCACAAGCCTGAAGAGACTCCACTTGGAACAAAACGAATTTGTTGGTAACATATCTGAAGATTTTGGCATCTATCCACACCTAGAATATTTAGATCTCAGCCAAAATAAGTTTTATGGTCAAGTCTCATCTAGCTGGGGAGAGTGTCCAAATTTAGGCATCCTAAAGATCGCAGAGAACAATATAACTGGCAGCATACCAGTTGAGCTTGGAAACCTAACTCAACTAGGTAGACTTAATCTTTCTTCAAATTATCTAGTTGGGGAGATTCCAAAAGAACTTGGAAACTTGAGTATGCTAGAGGAGCTGATTTTGAATAGGAACCAACTTTCTGGTAGTATACCTTCGGAAATTGGATTCCTCACCGGAATTACCCATCTTGACTTGTCCACAAACAAGTTGAGAAAATCAATCCTTGAAAGTCTGGGGAACTTGTTGCAAATGAATAGCTTGAATTTGAGCAACAACCAGTTTACCCAAGAAATTCCACCTCAGTTGGGGAAGCAAAGTCTGCTGACAGAGTTAGATTTGAGTCAAAACCTCCTCAGTGGAAAAATACCCTCTGAAATTTGTGATTTAGAGGATTTGCAGAATCTTAATATCTCCCACAATAACCTCTCTGGTTTCATTCCAAGAGAGTTTAAGAAGATGCACCTATTGAGTATTGACATATCTGACAATGAGTTGCAAGGTCCAATTCCTAACACAACAGCATTTCGAGATGCTACCATCGAAGAATTACAAGGGAACAAAGATTTGTGTGGTGATGTTAAAGGGCTACGACCTTGTAGAACTTCACCTGCAACAAAACATGGCCTGAAAAAGGGTTGGATAATCTTTTTTACAGTTTTTTTCCCTCTTCTAGGAGCTTTTCTTCTGTCTCTTGTGGTGCTCCGTATACTCTTTGGTTCTAGAAGAACAAAGAGACACTCAGAAGATAAAGAAAGTGGGATGAATAATGAAGAATATCTCGCGATATCAACTTTTGAAGGAAGAAAGATATATGAAAAAATCATAGCAGCGACTAAGGATTTTGATGCCAGTCACTTAATTGGGAAGGGAGGTCATGGAAGTGTTTACAAAGCTGAGTTATCACCAAGGGATATTGTAGCAGTTAAGAAAATCCATTCGCTATATACTGGTAATATAGCTGATCAAAAAGAGTTCTTGAGTGAGATAAAGGCATTAACAGAGATAAGACATCGAAATATTGTGAAATTTTTTGGTTTTTGTTCCCATTCTCGACACTCATTCTTAGTCTACGAGTATCTCGAAAGGGGTAACTTGGCCGCAATTTTGAGCAACGAAGCAGGAGCACTAGAACTAGATTGGAGTAAGAGAGTGAATATCATAAAAGGTGTGGCACATGCTTTGTCTTACATGCATCATGATTGCTTCCCACCAATTGTCCATCGTGACATATCAAGTAAGAACGTGCTGCTAGATATGGAATATGAAGCTCATGTCTCAGATTTTGGAACTGCTAAGCTTCTCAAGCCAGATTCATCTAATTGGACTCAACTTGCTGGCACATATGGATATGTTTCACCAGGTATATAATTCATACACTTTCATTTTACAATACCCTTATTGGATAATCAATAATAAAGATAACATATTTCTTTCACTTGCAGAGCTTGCATACACAATGAAGGTGACAGAGAAATGTGATGTGTATAGCTTTGGGGTGTTGGCACTGGAAGTCATCCTAGGGAAGCATCCCGGAGATGTGCTCACCCCATTTTCAGGTTCATCTGCAAACATGAACATAGAGCTTGATGATATGTTGGATCCAAGGCTTCCATTTCCCTCCTTGGAAGTTCAACGCAAACTAATTTCCATCATAGAAAAGACCTTTTTATGCTTAGATGTAAGCCCACAGTCTAGACCAACCATGCAGATTGTGTCTCATCTTTTTTGCAACTAAATCTTATTTTTTTTTGAAGTAATCACACTAGATTATAAATTTCTAGCAGACTATTTTGTAAGTTTTTGAATCAATTGTTTCTAAGGTTGGTCTAGCTTTTGAATCAATTGTTTGAATCACACTAGATTATAAATCTAGGTTCTCTGTATTTTTTTTTTTTTTAATTTAGCGACATTGGGACTTGAGAGTGATTGGTTACATAAATTCTCCATTCAAAATTTTGTTGAACCAGTTGTCACGGCCACAAAATTAAACCTAAATACCATAGTTAGTTGTAAGCAGGGTCGAATCCACAGAGAGCAAGACTAATGACCTAATGTATATTTGAGTTAACGAAAGAGAAATTGGCAAAATGATTGATTAAAACTAAGGAAACTAATTAATTGCAGGAAATTAAAAGCATCAAATAAATTGATAACTAACACACAATATTAAAAGTGTTGTCGCTACAGATTCGGTTTGACTCAAGACCAACTCTTACAATTCCTCTCCTCTCTCTTCAATTTCCTAAACCTGCAAGGCTAGGCAAATCAATAAAAATATCTCCCGACAATCTAGGTATAATCTATCATGTCTCCCCGTTGTCTTAGTAACAGATCAATTAGTTAAAGACTATCATCGACTAACCGAAAAATGCTAAACCCTTAAACACCACTAGTTGTTACAACGTTAACAAGTACAACCTATCAACTTGTATCATTCAATCAACTAACTACACGACAAATGCATTCCTAGTAGAAATGATATTAAATGCTAATACAACTGGATTGCAATCAGAATCGAAGCAATTTAAAGTCATACTCAACATTCAATAATCTCAAACCGACATTCAATTATGCAAAAAGTTATATGTCAACAAACGTTCTCAATGGACATTATCAATTCAGCACGTCGAGCATCAGAATAATATTAAAGCATCGCAAACAAACTAAAACCAAAAAAAAAATATATATATAATCTGAATACAAGAAACTTAACCAAATATCCAACTTTGGGCTCATCCAACTGGTCAAGAACTACCGAGAAGATCCATGAGTGTCGATCTTGATCTCCCTACACCTAACAGGCAACTAGTAGCTCAGCCGCTCATGGTGGTGTCGACGAAGGTTGCAATGGTGGGAACAGAGCTTTCATGGCGAAGAGGACATAATCGACAACGAGATGATGCGAAGAAGGAGTGAAAACAACCAACAGATAGCTCGAAATACGAACAGTCGCACTCGTAAAAAAACGTTAGTTTTCCGACGGGTCTTCCGGCAAATGGTGGCGAAAATGGGATCCGAAGGTACCGATGGAAAGCTCAGGTGATAAGGAGTTCAGATCAGGTCTTGGGGAGATGAAATGTCACCAGAAAGTGAGCAAAATCGTGCCGGGAAGTCGAAGAGTCGTCGGATCAAGGTGATGGATCTCGCTGGAAAAAGGGTAGATCAGCGGCGGAAATTTGAGGGGAAGTTGATGGAGTGATGGTTAGCACAAAAAGAGCTCAATCGGCACCAGAAAACGATGCAATCTCTGGTGGAAGGTGAAGCATCACGGCGTGAAAATGGTGGTTTGTCGCTGGCGTGGGTGAATGACGGTGGAGGGTGGCTGGTCGGCCTGAGAAAGTGAAGAGTCATCGGCTTGGAAGATGAAACGTCACTGGCAGCGACCAAATTCTGGCGATGGGTGAAGGTCCCTTCGCGGCTGGCTCCCTTTTGCGACCTTTCACCTGCAATTTATACAAAAAATGATAAATTTCCATGTGGTCCCTACACAATTGGAAAGTGACAAAATCAACCTCTTGAAACATGACATTTTGACCCTTGAATAGCATAAATGAGACAACATCAACCCTAGAAAATAAATCACATCCTAATATCAACTTACAAAATCTCAAATTTCAATCCAAACATGCCAAATTAGTAAGAAAAACTCAAAATATGATTTTTATACATAAATTCCTAATTTCTCTTAATTGCCTCAATATAACTTCAATTTAATTACACATAGGATCTTTTTATCAACAAAATAGAGTCACTTTCATGACTCTAACAACTATTGAATCAGTGCAACTTACATCGACTACAAGTTGCTGATTCTTATTTAAAATTTGTGTTCTTATCAGTGACTAAGGCAATATTAATTTGGGGTAACTTTTCATAATCTAAAAGTGGATTCTCAAAGAATCTAAAGCTAATTAATTATTTATTTAAAAAAAAAATTAAACTGGTTAAATAATTTAATGTTATAAAAATACTGACTCACCAACTACGTCCAACGGCAATCACATAAACTTGACTTGTCAATAGATTATATAAGAGTTTGAATTAAGTCCTGAAAATTTCAGGCACAATATTGTTGATTTTGAATTATTATTAAATTTCAAAGAACAAATAATTACTTTCAAAGAATATCACCTTCAGAGAATAATGGCAGAGAAAATTCATACTGAAGCATATCCATCAAAGTGGTGTTGAGCTTGGGTTTTTGAAAGGTGGCCCAAGCAAAATTGAGAAAGTCTATTTTTTGTAGGAGATTGTTTTAGAGTTGGGTTTTATATCAACAAAATAAAAGAAGAACGAGGTGAAGAGGGGAGCGGCCGAAGGTGAGAAGAAGAAAAGGCGGAAAAGGGGGTTAGCAATAGATTCGACCAAGCCTTGGATGAACAACCTCCTATGGTCCGATTCAGCTGCAATATTACTGGTATGTTCTTGACTCAAGCCTCTTCATTTAGGACTACGGAGATTGAATTTGGAGCAAGTTTGTTACAGTAAATAGTGCATGGATAGTATATCTTTGTGAGATTTCTCCATTATTTTGATGTGTGAGTGTTTGATTCCAAGACGTATTGTTTTTTCAGATTGTTGTGGAAGTATTCTTCTTCTCACCTTTGGCCACTCCCCTTTTTCTCAACCAAATCATTTGTTATTTGCCTCGTAATATTTGCAGCGGTGGTTCACTCCAGCACTTCTATGCAAGTGACAATCATTTCTTAGGCCCGGTCCCTAAAAGCTTGAGGAATTGCCAAAGCCTGATTAAACTCCTCCTAGGACGAAACGAACTTCCAAGCCTGAGGGATTTAGAGCTGATCTATAACAAATTTTATGGTGAGATCCCATATGTGGAAATTTTTAACAATTAGGCACTCTAAAAAAATTCTTTCATAAGTGATGATGATTAAGAAAAACCGTTAGTTTGTGATTGCAAAATAATTTTTAAAGAAAAAAAATGGCGTATAGGTACTTTAAAATTATATTAGCCTTTTGATGTAATTTTGATAGAGGATAATATATATTGTACATCTAAAAGAATTAGTATTAATGTGGGTCTCTTAAGAAATTTAGTGGGGTCATACTTCTTCAAATCTTATCTTAAAACAGATTAGTTAAAAGGTTTTTGTCGGTTTTTGAAATATAAAATGAAACCAATATAGTCGCCTCCTTCTTGAAGTTGACATTGATAAATATCCCTCCTAGTTCTCGGCTTCAGACCGTAAGCTTTTGAAATATGTGGCTAAGGACGATGATACACTACACGCTGTAGTGGCTAAGGATGGCAGTGGAGATTACATTAGCATTTAGGAAGCTATTGAGGCCTACCCAAAGTACTGACGAGGCCAATGAAATCTACAATGAAAGCGTTACTGTGTCTGAAAAACAACAGAATTTGTTCATGTATGGTGATGGAAATAGCAAGACCATTGTTCCGGGTAGCAAAAGCAACAACCAAGGCTTTAGAACCTGGAAGACTGCCACATTCAGTAAGTTTCTAAACTTGTAAGACCCTTGTAACGGAGATAGGAACAGGGTTCATTGCCAAGGTTGTGGGGTTCGTGAACACAGCCGGCTCTAATGGACACCAGGCTATGGCTCTCCATGTTGCATCTGACTATTCAACTATATTCGACTGCAGGATCGATGGTTACCAAACTTCTTTGTACGCCCATGCTTACCGACAGTTTTACCATAATTGTAAAATTTCTGGCACTATTGGTCTCATCTTTGGTGATGCCACCGTCATTATTCAGAGTTCCACTCTCATCGTTAGGAAGTCCAATGATAAAGTTGAAAAGTACGCGATGATAGCTCCAGTTAGAAGCATAAGACAACAAACCACTACAATGGTTATCCACAATTATACCATTGTCCTTGATGAGAAGCTCTTCCCTGACAGGTTACTGTTGCTATTGGAAACTGGAGGAGTGTTAAAAGAATAAAAATTACTCTGATACGTATTGTTGGAATTGGGAGCAATTAAATCAATCTCTAACAGGCTTCTAATATTGAAAAGATGAACTTGTGCTAAAAAGGAAGAGAAAATTCCATTCATCAATCTCAATTACATTCTCTTCAATGAGGAAAAGGAACAATCTCTCCTTTCTCTCTTCAAATTTATACATTCTTCAACCCCTTATTTATAAATAAATAAAGGGATTAGATTACATAACTGACTTAACTATTCAAACAACAATTAAGTGATATTCAAGTCCATAGCTGAAAATAACTACAATTTTTTCATGCTGTGGCATTCTGCTCTCTAGAAATTTTCTAGAGTAGATTTCTAATTGGCGTCGGGACATGACTTTCTCTATACCGCGTCATTCATCTTCTGTCGTGCATCCTTTCTTCTAGACATCTTTAGAGTCCTCTAGCCAACATTCTTGCTGCCATTCTTGTTCTACCAAAAAGATTCAATCTTAAACAGTTCCAAAACCCTTGAAGTCTAGTTGCATAATTTAGGGATGAGTACAAGTAATGGGTAGAACCAGAACCAGAATTGGAACCTACCTGGAACTAACACTATGCGGGTAGGCTTCAGTTCCATTTTATTGGAATCGACACTGTACGGTTCCGATTCTGGTTCCTACAGGTTTCGGAACTGGAATTGGAACCTCAGAAAATAACCTAAAGCAGGTACTCGGCTTTGAACCTGTTTGTGTTTTGGTTTTAATTGAGAAATTTTGTGTGAATTATGATGAATTGATTGAATTTAAGTGTTGCCTGGAGATTAGAAGATTTATGAGTCACATTGGACAAAAATGAATGAGTAATAAAAAGTTGACAACTATTAAATGTAGGTTTTCTTAATTTTTTAGGGGTGTATTTGACTATTTGCAAACTATTAAGGTATATTATTATTTTTTAAACTAATAGGGGGTAATTGATATTTTATAGGATACCGGGTAAGGAAACAAACCTGCATTTGGAAGAATATGTTTTTGGCATTAAAGGAGTTACAATCTATTTCAAATACGACTCATCTGAATCAAAGATCAGCAATCGCTACCACTTCACTCTCCACTCTTCGTTTTTACTCAACCGGTGACTTTCAATTACTTATTCTATTAACCTTCTTAAGTAAAATAAACCCTAGCTTTTTTCCGCTTTTTATCCCGTAATTTCTTATTTTTATGGAGTAAGTTGTTGCAGTGACTATGTTGGGGTATTGTGTTTAAGAATTTTGGGAATTGATACCGTTTGAGTGGTTTGGTGAGGATGATGGTAGAAATGCAACCTCAACTATCGAATGAACTTATCAAAATAATGGGACAAAAGTTATTGGCTATAGAGCGCTGGAGTGCTTGTCTTGAGAATCTCATAAATCGGGTATTTATTATGGATCCTCAATTTTCTAAGGTTTCGGTTGGGTTTTAACGCAATGATTATTATGCTTTTTGTAGTGTTTGTATTCCTTTAGTTGGAGGCTTTAAATGGTTATTTAAGTTTGTTTTGTTCTGTTTCTATTTGTGAGACAGCCAGAAGCTTCACCAACAGAGTATTCTAAGGCTAATAAAGAGCTTCGGAAAATCAGGGGTTCAATGAAACTTATAAATGAATTGAGGACCAAACAGAAGGTGAACTGCTGTAACACCTTGAAGTCATTCATCCATTTAGGGAAATGTGATATGCCCACGAAAGTATGATATTTTTTTTCCTTGGATAAATTTCTTATTTTTCCCAACTGAAATTATATAGGAGATTGATGGGTTGAAGTCACTGATGGCTGAATGTCCCGAGGATAAAGACTTGCCTGATATGGCAACAGATGAATTGAATCGAGCTGTAGAAAAAGAGAAAAAATTATAGAGTCTGCTGCTCAAGTCTTTACTTCCTAAGGATGATGCTGATGAGAGGTGCATTTTGGATGTGAGAGCTGGTTAGTGAAGACCATGTAGATAGGCAGCTCAATCGAGAAAAGCGAATGTTCAAAGCTTTCAGCGGGCGTCAGTCGTCTTCTTGCTGTTGTTGAATGTGAAGTTGTGATCAGCTTAGCAGTAAAGAGCTCTTGTTTAGCGAAAGTTGTATTCGGATTCCACTTGAGCGGCCTTCTCTCTCTGAGTTACGGCAAAGGAAGTTCGGTAAGCGTCGTAATCTAGTCTGACCGAAGCATTAGCCCTGTCTCTATACTTGAAAACATAGACTGGACTTAGTGCGGTGAGGTAGCTTAGGAAACCGTACCTGATGACATTCGGACTTTATTCTTTCCTGTTAGCACGCATCCACTGACCGATGAATCTGTTGTCGGAATAAGAGTAAGCGCTGCTTTTGTTCCAACCTTCTCGTCTAGAAGCTAGAAGGAATCAGTCTTAAAGGGGGGCGGAGTGATGGATGAAATTCATTTTTGAGTGAGCTGTTAATAAGCTGGGCAAGTCAAATCCATAAAGGCGAGGAAAAACTAGTTTGAAAGTAGTCCTCCTTGAAGTTCCTTTTATTGCAAATTTAATTGCATTTTGGTGTCAATATGTGCCCCCTGTTTTTCAGGCATTTCTCTCTCTCCCTCTATTTATGTTTTTCCCCTTCTTTATTGTTTTTGACAAAGTTTTGATCAGGAACAGGCGGGGAAGATGCCTCTTTGTCTGCAATGGACATATTTAAGATAAGTTTCTACAACCTTTCCTGGTTATCATCTTTAGTCATAACTCTTGCATATCAAGGACCTTTTGAAGAATTCCAACCTCGTTTGAATTACACAGGTATGAGAGATACTCACAGAAGAAAGTTTGGATTAAAAGTTTGATGTTATAGATGTAACAGTGTCTGATCTGAGAGTATACAAGGCATGTCTTCCATCCTGTGAATTTTCATGTGTCCCTTTTTATTAGATGGGTATTGTTCAGTTGTTAGGTATGGGTTACAATCTATAATATTTTCCAATATACCGTTTTCGTTTTACAAAATATGGAATTACCTCGTCACTGTTTTATAAATCTTCGGCTTGTCCTTTTACTAACCAGGAGGCTAGTGCAGCAATCTCAGGAGCTGTTGAAGATGGTGATAATTTGCTGGAAATGCAGAATTATTCAGTTAAGGTTTCAAACGGCATTTTGGCACCAAGTGCTCATGTTTCTGTTCGGGTGCAGTAGTTGATGCTGCTGAATTTGATACAGTATGGTGATGTTTTTGTGACATGTTTAGTTGAGTTTAGTTGAGATTAAGACATGTTTCGTTGTAAGATTATATTTAAATTCAAATATGTAAAATCTCATCCACTGCAGTAGGTTGTTTAGGTAAGAACAGTGGACTGTTTTTGTATATATGTTATCCATGTTCAATGAATGAAAATAGAGCACTCATTTACAACTGCAGCCGTCCCTTTCCATTGAAAATTTCTCTCCTTTATCACTCTCCAGTTGAACCATCTGAACCAACAGGAGCTGGTGTCTAAGGGAAACTTAAATTTGAGAGTGGAATTCATGGGGTTCAGGTTTCAGTACTACCTATTTGATTTACAATGTATGATTCATAGCAGAAATTACAAACAGTTGTCATCTTGCAGCGAGTTCCTGTGAGGGAGAAGTCTGGTCGAGTTCATACCAGTGCTGTCTCTGTTACTATCCTTCCTCAGGCTGATGAGGTGCAAAACGAATTGCAGTTGATTGAATGATAATATTTGTTATGATGCCACAATTGCATGGTCATTTTTCTTTGCAACTGTCACCATTGTAGTATTGGAAGTATTATAATGTTTTCTGATGCTCAATCTCATTGATCTTTTTTGTTTTGGGGCTTTGCAGGCAGATGTCCAGTTGAGGAATGAAGATTTGAGGATTGATACTTATAGATCTGGTGGTTCAGGTGGTCAGCATGCAAATACCACCAATAGTGCTGTCTGAATAACTCATATTCCAACTGGGATGACTGTGTCCATCCAAGATGAACGATCTCAACACATGGTAAAGATTTTTTACCAACATTCCTGAATAATAAATTAAAAAATGCCAGCTAGATCAGGTTATTGATCACCATTCCTTCATAACATGTTTTAGTAAGGCCTATGTTCGAGTGTCATGTTTCCTTCAATTTTCATTGTCCTGCTATGGAACATATAGAAAGACGACTTGTTGAAGTTTTATTGTATGTACCAACTTAATGAAAATACGAAAAAAAGGGGTCATTGGACAAGTTTTTATCATTAGGACTATGTATTTCAATATTTATCTAAATTATCCACAATGTAACCTTACAGGCAATGGATCTTGAATCGTGTGCAATTTATTACACTCTAATCGTGTGCAATTTATTAATATCAAATCTGTAGTATAGCTGCGTTACAGTATCATCCCTCAGTATTAAGTAAGCAACATATGGTAATCAGTGGGATGGGTACTTTTGCGTCATCTGTTTTGGTTTTTCTTCCCTTATGGTTGTTCTTTTGCCTTTTTGATCTTTATAACAGGACAAAGCTAAAGCACTTAAGTTGCTCTGTGCGAAACTGTATGAAATGGAAAGGTTAAGAATTCAGATGAGTCGATCGAATTCGATCCGAGCAGGTAAAAGTGACTGTGAGATGAAGATGAGCAAGTTTACTATTGCTTTTTGTTTCTTATTTTCCAGAACAATGAAGAGATCTTATCACTGTAAAGAGATTGGTAGTGGTGATAGATCGGAGCTTATCCGTACTTACAACTTCCCTCAAGGGCGTGTCGTGGATCTTTGTGTTAGCATCACTCATCATGCTATAAATGATGTGATGCAGGGAGAAAATATAGATATCTTCATAGATGCTCTTCTTTTACGGCAGGAAATGGATGCAATTGCCTCATTCAGTTCTAGTCAGTGATGCTGGTGAAGGTGTCCTTACCCAGGGCCTAATTTTGATCATATTTTTGAATGGTGTTAAGGTTTAAGTAGATTATTTATTTTTAAAATTTGCCATGGTTTAGCCTCATAATTGGTAGTATTTTTGTAACAATATACCAACTTTCTGGCTCTATTCCAACGGAAATAGGAAACTTGAAATCTCTTTTTGATCTCGAGTTAACTGTGAATCAACTAAGTGGTCCTATTCTCTCTTTCTTTTAAAATCTAAGCAACTTGAAGTCCTTATTCGTTGGCAACAACAAGGTTTCAGGTTACATTCATCAAGAAATTGGAAATTTCATGAAATTGAAGGTATTGGATTTATTATTTGCCTCGTAATATTTGCAGCGATGGTTCAGGTCTGTGCAAGTGACAACCATTTGTTAGGCCAGGTCCCTGAAAGCTTGAGAAATTGCAGAAGCCTATTTAAACTCCTCCAAGGACGAAACCAACTTGTTGGAAATATATCTGAATATCTTGGTTTCTATCCAAACTTGGCAGTCGACAGCATGAACCCGTGGCTCAATTTTGCTGACAGTATAAGCTGACCATGCTAATTAAGGTCCATTAGTTGTTTGGTTAGAATTTAGAAATATGCAAAAGAGTTTTTGAGTATTAATTTACTAAAAAAGGCTTTACTAAATAAGAATAAGTTAAGTCAAATTTATAAAATATAATAAGGATATTTTTGAAATTTTAAGACTCTAAATGAGCTCAAAAAAAGATTATTTTTCCGAAAATAGCTTATTTTGAATTCAATAAACACTTATAAAATATAATAAAACAATCTGAAAAATATAAGCTTCTTTTGACTGGTAGATAAACTTTCTTTGTGAGTGGGAACTCTTTTACTTTTCGAACGGAATAGATTATGCGTGGATGTTAAATCTTGTAAAGAAAATTAAATTGGTAATTGGAATTTGGAAGTAGTGCAATGAATTATTCCTCCATATCCAGTGGGGACCTTAAAGAAAAGTTGATATACATTCAACCAATGAAAATTAATTAATACTGAGTCAATTGAAAATGATAGGTCAGGCAAACCCAAATCTACGGCAGTCTTCACATAATTACAAATATTTCACTTTATAGTATATGACTAGAAATAAAGAAAATTTTTATTTATAAAAAAAAAAAATTCTTGCGTACATGAAACAGTCAAACAGAGTCCTTTAAGATGTTGAAAATATCATATAAACTTGTCTTAATATATATTAAAAGTTCACAGTGATGCAATTTGAACCCCATATTTTATCTAACAATACCCCACTTTTAATTAAACCCTTTTAAATTATTTATAATCTTTAAACATACCCCACTTCATTCCAATTTTGTCCTGAAATTAAAATTACCCCAATTTAATTGAAAATAAATTTATGATTAAAATTATACATTCAATAGCAGTGTACAAAGCGATGATTATAAATTGTACCTATTTGAAATTCTTTCAAAACCCTTCATGATGATTAAGTAAAACCATTAAAAAAATTTTATAAATGAAATTTGTGGTTGCCATTTTTTTTTTTTTTTTAAAGATTATATTTGCCTTTTAATGTAATTTTGATTGAGGATAATATTATAATCTAAAAGAATTATTAACATGGATCTCTTAAGAAATTCAGTGGGGTCAAATAGCATCGCTCTTTAAATTATTATTTCTTCAAAACTTAATGTAAAACAAATCAGTTAAAAGGTTTTTGTTGCTTTTTGAAAAATTAAATTAAATAAAAATGAAAACAAATAGGATATAAGAGGCTCCCTAATTAACCATATCGCAAACACTATATTGTTAATTTTCGCAATGGACCAAATTCGTTTCTAGAGTAAAATAACTTATTATTTTTGAGTTTCTAAGGGCAAAAGTTTTGCTTTCGACTAGTAAATTTACGGGAAAATTTAGGCCATATATAACATAAGGAGAAAGGAAATGATAGTTACCGTTATAAAATTATTGGGACCAATTATACTAAAGGAAATATTCTCAGAGTATTGAGTAATGTTATTTTAGTATTATAGATGGATCTACCCTTGGATGATGATTCAAAGGCTGATTAGGATATTTTTAGACTATATGATTCAAGAGTATTTTAGATCTAGCTAGGGGTAGAGTCATTTGCGAAAAGGAACATAACAATCACCTTACAAAATTCAAACATGCATTTTGAAAATGCAGGCATTCAGTACAAGATAGAGACCTTAATTGACTTGGTAGTGATTTTGATGCTTCCAGTCTTGAAGGCAACATTTGTGGTGTTGCCTAATTGCTGATATTGCAAGCATCCGTTTAGTTTGGGTAATTAGGTCAATGACACAAATTGTACTTACAAAGACTATACACTTAAGGAGAAAGGAAATGATATTTACCGTTATGAAATTATTAGGATCAATTATACTACTAAAAGAAATATCCTCAAAAGTATTGAGTAATGTTATTCTGATATTATAGGTGTATCTACCATTAGCTCATGATTCAAAGGTTGATTATGTTCTTTTAGACCATATGATTCGAGGGTATTTAACACGTTAACGATTTGTGGTGTTGCCTAATTGCTGATAATGCATTTTGAAACACGTTAACATGATTCAAACATGCATTTTGAAAGTGCAGGCATTCGGTGAAAGACAGAGACCTTAATTGACTTGGTAGTGATTTTGATGCGTCAAGTCTAGAAGGCAACATTTGTGGTGTTGCCTAATTGCTGATAATGTAAGCATCCTTTTAGTTTGGGTAATTAGGTCAATGACACAAATTGTACGCTTAAGTCCTGAGAAGTGTAGTCAAGATGAATAAAAGGTGAAACAAGTTTAAAATATATGATTGTGATTTATGAAATTCTGATTAGTAATAAAGATAAATAGAAGAAAAAAATTCTGCAAAAGTTTAGGAAAACTCTTATCACAAAACCATCCGATCACTGGGATACTGTTAAAGAAATATGTCTACAGACGGTGATCCAATGATTCATATCAGTAATATTACTCCCGTATTGTAAGTGAACTCATCCATAAATTACAGTCCAAGGGTCAACTTATTTACCTTCCTCTGCTAACATTACCAGATACGCTAGTGTTTTCCAGCATTACTTCACTAATCAGTTACGGGGAGGAACATATCAATCTCAGTACAATAGTCAAACACGCATTTTGAAAATGAATAAAGTACAAGACAAAGAACTAAATTGATGACTTGATAGTGATTTTGTAGCTTTTATTTATGTCAAGTCTTTATAACTTGATTGTGCCCACTAAGAGTAAAGACTCGGAAATCCTGACAAGTGAAATTAAGATGAATAAAGGTGAAATGTGGAATCAAAATCTGCTGTCAATGAATTTTATACAAAAACCCTTGTCTTAAACAAGTTTGAGATACAAATTGAGGGGTGAAAGAAAGTTAACGTTATTCTTGCATTTTTTTTCTTTACTTCAGTATACATCCTGGTGAAGAAATCAGGATTTTCTGTTGTGAAAATATAAGATCCTAGAGTGTCATTTATCCTGGATAAAGAACAAAGAAGATTAATTATATCCACATCAAAGACTTGCATGAAACCATTTTCTACGTAGGCTTGACAAAAAGCAACAAAAATCTTGAGTGAAAGATGGTGCATTGACATTTTCAAAGCCCTTAGAGTTCCAAATTCTGTTTATAAATATGGAGTTCCCAATTAGGCTTTGCGGTGCACAAACTTAGCTAGTTTAAGCAATGGCAATCTCATCCCTCAATAAACTCTCCCCTGTTTTCTTCAGCCTCTTTGTTGTGCTACATTTTCAACTAAATGTTGCTTTTGATTCCACTCAAGAAGCACAAGCTCTTCTCAAATGGAAGGCCAACCTTCAAAACCACGGCCATTCTCTCATCTCTTCATGGACTCTTTATCCTGTTAATGCCACCAATAATTCTACTCAACACAAAAGCAAGATAAGCCATTGTACTAATTGGTTTGGAGTTTCTTGTGACCATGCTGGAAGCATCCGTAGATTGAACCTATCTATTGCAGGTTTAAAAGGTACGCTTGATGAATTATCATTCTCATCATTTCCTCATCTTGCATATCTTGATCTTAGCATAAATTAACTCTTTGGAGTTATCCCTGCACAAATTGGTAATCTCTCCAAACTGAAGTATCTTGACTTGCAAACTAATCAGTTTTCTGGGAAAATACCAACTGAAATCGGTCTCCTTACAAATCTTGAGACCCTTCACCTGGCTGAGAATCAATTGAATGGTTCAATTCCAAAAGAAATAAGCCAACTAAGTTCTCTTAGTGAACTGGCTCTGTCCAGTAACTACTTGAACGGTTCAATTCCTACTTCTTTGGAAAATTTAACCAAGTTGGCTTGGTTGTCTCTCTTTAATAATTCACTTTCTGGTTCCATTCCTCTAGAAATGGGAAACCTCTCGAATTTGGTTGAACTTTACATCGATACTAATAGCTTAACTGGTCCAATCCCTTTAAGTCTTGGAAACCTTAGAAACCTGGAAGTCTTGCACATGTTCAAAAACCAACTTTCTGGTTCCATTCCCAAGGAATTAGGAAATTTGGAGTCCCTCACTGAAATTAGTCTTCATAGTAACAATCTTTCAGGTTCAATTCCATCGTCTTTTGGTGGTCTGAGAAGTCTCATTTATCTTCATTTATACAATAATACACTTTCTGGCTCCATTCCCCCTGAAATAGGAACTCTGAAAAATCTGACTGATTTAAAGTTAAGCCAAAATCTACTCAGTGGTTCTATTCCTGATTCTTTTAAAAATCTGAACAAATTAGAGATTTTGCACCTTCGTGAAAACCATCTTTCTGGTACCATTCCCCAGGAAATAGGAAATTTCATGAGTTTGACTATATTGGAAATAGACCAAAACAACTTCACTGGTTCTTTACCCCATAATATATGTCATGGTGGTTCACTTGAGAGGTTCAGTGCGAAAGACAACAATTTTTCTGGTCCAATTCCCAAAGACTTGAGAAATTGCACAAGCCTGACAAGAGTCCTTATAGGAGGAAACCAACTTGTTGGAAATATATCTGAAGATTTTGGCGTCTATCCAAAGCTAGATCTACTAGATCTCAGCCATAATAAATTTTATGGTGAAATCTTGTCTAGCTGGGGACAGTGTCCAAAATTAGGCACCCTAAAGATGGCAAAGAATAATCTTACTGGCAGTATACCAGTTGAACTTGGAAATTTAACTCGACTCGATGTTCTTGATCTTTCTTCAAATAATCTAGTTGGGGAGATTCCAAAAGAATTCGGAAATTTAACTTCTTTGGAGCATCTAATTTTGAATGGCAATCAAATTTCTGGTGGTATACCTCCGGAAATTGGATTACTCACCAAAATCAAGAGTCTTGATTTGTCTGCAAATAGGTTGAGCAAATCAATCCCTGGAAGTCTAAGGAACTTGTTGCAAATGTACAGCTTGAATTTGAGCAACAACCACTTTACCCAAGAAATTCCTCCTCAGTTGGGGAAGATAAGTCTGCTGACAGAGTTAGATTTGAGTCATAACTTCCTCAGTGGAAAGATACCCTCTGAAATTTGTGATTTAGAGGACTTGCAAAATCTTAATTTCTCCCACAATAACCTCTCTGGGTTCATTCCAAGAGAATTTAAAAAGATGCACCTGTTGAGTATTGACATATCTGACAATGAGTTGCAAGGTCCAATTCCCAACACAACAGCATTTCGAGATGCCACCATCGAAGAGCTACGAGGGAACAAAGATTTGTGTGGTCATGTTAGAGGGCTACGACCTTGCAGAACTTCACCTGTAGCAAAACATGGCCTAAAAAAGGGTTGGATAATCTTTTTTACAATTTGTTTCCCTCTTCTAGGGGCTCTTGTTCTTTCTCTTGTGGTGATCTGTATACTCTTTAGTTCCAAAAGAACAAAGAGAGACTCACAAGATAAAGAAAGTGGGATAAACAATGAAGAATTTCTCTCGATATCAACTTTTAAAGGAAGAAAGATGTATGAAAAAATCATAGCAGCAACCAAGGATTTTGATGCCAATCACTTCATTGGGAAAGGCGGTTGTGGAAGTGTTTACAAAGCTGAGCTATCACCGAGGAATATTGTAGCAGTTAAGAAAATCCATTCTATGTATACAGGTGATATAGCCAATCAAAAAGATTTCTTGAGCGAAATAAGGGTACTGACAGAGATAAAGCATCGAAATATCGTGAAATTTTTTGGTTTTTGTTCACACTCTCGACACTCATTCTTAGTCTACGAGTATCTTGAGAGAGGCAGCTTGGCTGCAATTTTGAGCAACGAAGCAGGAGCAGTAGTGCTGGATTGGAGTAAGAGAGTGAATGTCATAAAAGGTGTGGCTCATGCCATGTCTTACATGCATCATGATTGCTTCCCACCAATTGTCCATCGCGACATATCAAGCAAGAACGTGCTGCTAGATATGGAATATGTAGCTCATGTCTCAGATTTTGGAACTGCTAAGCTTCTCAAGCCAGACTCATCTAATTGGACTCAACTTGCAGGCACATATGGATACATTGCACCAGGTATATAATTCCTTCACTATCATTTTACACTACCCTTATTGGATAATCAATGATAAAAGTTGCATATTTCTTTCACTTTACAGAGCTTGCTTACACAATGAAGGTGACCGAGAAATGTGATGTGTATAGCTTTGGGGTGTTGGCACTGGAAGTCATCCTAGGGAAGCATCCCAGCGATGTTCTCGCCCCATTTTCAGGTTCATTTGCAAACATGAACATAGAGCTTGATAATATGTTGGATCCAAGGCTTCCATTTCCCTCCCTGGAAGTTCAGAACAAATTGATTTCCATCATAAATGTGGCCTTTTTATGCTTAGATGCAAATCCACAGTCTAGACCGACCATGCAAATTGTGTCTCATCTTTTGTGCAATTAAATCTTGTCATTCTAGTACACCCTTTCTTAAGTTTCTGAATCTATTATTTGTAAGCTTTGTCCTGTTTGTACTAGCCTAGCTAGAACCGGGCAAATATTTTTTTCTGTATTTTACTGAATTACATATTTAATAAAAGTTATCATATTTCCGGAATTCAGCTACATTGAGACTTGAGAGTGATCGGTTACAAAACTTCTCAATTGGTTGTTGAAACAGTGCAGCTGGCACTTAGCACAAGCTACCAGTTGCTGACTCATATTTAGAAATAGTGTTCCTATTCGTGACTGGGCTTTATTTTGGGTAGATTTTCAAACACCATGTTGTTGACTTTGCCTTAAAAACGCGTGTTCTATTCGTGACCAGGGCTTTATTTTGATTATGCTAAAGAGGTAGGTCCTCTTTAGCCAATAAATGGCAGAGAAAAATTATTTCAAAGCATATCAATCAAAGAGGACCTACCTCTTTACAATAATCAAAGTACTTTTGAAAATGCATCCAGTAAAAGAGAAAGACCTTGACTTGGGTTGGTTGACTGTTGACTCAGATATTTATTGCTATAAAATTGTCTTATCTTTTGTACACTCTTTCTTAAGTTTCTAATAAGTTTTGTCCTGTTTATACTAGCCAGCTAAAACCAGGCAAATCCTTCTTTTCTTTTTTTTCTGTATTTTACTAAATTACATATTTAATAAAAATTATCATATTTCCGGAATTTAGCTACATTGAGACTTGAGAGTGATCCGTCACAAAAATTCTCAATTAGTTGTTGAAACAGTGCAGCTGGCACTTGACACAAGCTATCCAAATTATTTATTTAGCAGGACTGGAGGGAGAGAAATTTTCAGAAATCATTAATGTATCTTTGACTATCCAACTTATTCAAACAAGACTTTGAAGATGTAAGGAAGAAGACCATTTACTGTTTTTTTCCAAATCAAAATTCTACCCCAATTACTATACGTTGTTTGAATGAAACACGGACTAGATTTTATATTTTATAATTAATATTGAAGCTTCCGTGATGGATGGGGACTCTAATTAATGAAAAATACGCTCAAAATATTTTCTTAAACATGACCAATTCAAAGTATATCTAATGTTTTTCACATGGTATAAATTTTCTAATTAATCATTTCAAGTTTGAGGTATTCAGGACTTGTTTGTTGTTCATGGATGATGATTGAACACTACTAGTGCTAGTCATAAAGAAAGAAAATGTTGCTTAAAGGTTTTTACTGCCATCAAATATTCAATTTGTGTCTATATAACATAGATGAATCTCTTCCTTAGTATTTGAAAGAAAAAACAAAACGAACATTATTTTGCATAAAAACATTGATGCTTGTAAAGAGGTAGGTCCTCTTTAGCCAATAAGTGGCAGAGATAAATTATCCTAAAGCATATCAATCAAAGAAGGCCTAGCTCTTTACAATAATCAAAATACTTTTGAAAATGCATCCAGTAAAAGACAAAGACCTTGACTTCGGATGGTTGACTCAGATATTTATTGCCATAAATTTGTCTAAGTCATTGTTTAAAATAAATAAATAAAAGTTAGAGGTGTTGGGTATTGCAAGATCACATTTTACAAATCAAGACTTTTGAGTAGAGATGGGAGTTTGCCCCGACCCGCGGGGATCCAGACTGACCTGGCCCAAATGGGGCGAAGAATCCCCGAAATATTTGGGGATAGGGCCGGGGATGGTCCTCAGAAAAATCCTCACACTCGGGGATGGGTCGGGGGAGAGGATAGTACAATCCCCGACCCGTCCCCATGAAGCCCCGCTCGCCCCGCCTTTTTTTTGAGAATTTTATGTTTTTTTTTTTTTTTTTTTTTTTGTTCCCTTTGCGAGATTGTATATAAAATTAGAGTCTAAATCATGGTTTTAAGTGATGTAAGTAAATTTATAATATTTAATTTTATAATACTTTCTAATGTTTGTATTAAATTTATAGAAAAATAATTTAAACCAAGGAGTCTAATAATTAAATATATGTATTATTACTTCTTGAATTTCACAAAATAATAATACATGACCCAAATTTTTTTTGATTAGATTATTATAATTTACCAAACCAATATATTATGAGGTTTATGTTGCAATAGATAATTTGAGTATATTATGAGGTTTATGTTGTAGCCTGAAGGATGTTTATATTTTATTGCTTTGAAATCCATGAGCATGTTTCAATTTTTGCCAAGAAATTGTTGTTATTCACCATATTCATATCAATTCTCAACAAAATTTTCTTTCAAATATTTATTTTATGAATTTTAGTAGATGAGACTATTTTAATGGAACATTACAATGCCTAAGCAACATAAAGCATCAGAATGTAGAATCTAAATTCTTCTATTTAATACTATATAGAAAATGTGTCACTAACTTAGTAACAATTAAATTAGTTTATGGTGGTAGTTATGTATTGCTTTTTAAATCTTAATTTAGATTTTACTAGAAATTGTTGATTTTATATTTTCTTACTTTAAATTTAGCTTTTTTAATGAATTAACTACTAAAATTAAGCAGTCAAATATAGTACCTACTAACGTACTAGTTTCTCACAATTAAAATAATTTAATATCATTGTCGTGAGAACATGCGGAAAGTTTTGATTTGCACAGGGAAAAATCCCCGTTCAGGGAAAAAATCCCCGGGGCCGGGGGGGATTCCCCGCGAAGCCCCGTTCATCAAGTCGGGCCGGGGCGGGGATGGGAGTGATTCCATCCCCACAGGCCGGAGACAGTCATGAGAAAAATCCCTACCCACAGGGACGGGCTGGGGACGGTCATGGGAGTGGGTAACGGGGATGGGGACGAGGAATGGGGTCCCCGACCTTGACCCGGCCCATGCCCATCCCTACTTTTGAGACAGAGTATTGGGCATCAAAGTCTCACTTGGTTTAATTCATAATTATGGTCATTGAGGAAATCTAACACGCTACTTTGAAAAGTGTCCTGGAGTATCATCTTCTTTTGAAACATTTCATGGAATTTTTTTAAATATACTGCAAAGACTTTTGCAAAGTCTTGATGACTGTTCTACATTTAATGGAATTTTTTTTATATATATCTGAGTTGTGAATTAGCTTTGGATCAAGTAGAAGTTGAATAAACAATGGCTTTATCAACCTTGGAGAGAGCAATCTCACTTGTCTGTATGATCTTGATTGTTGTGTTTCAACTTTCTCGCCATGTTGCTTCTAACTCTACCGAAGAAGCACAAGCTCTTCTGAAATGGAAAGCCAGCCTTCAAAACCAGAACTGTTCTCCCCTATCTTCATGGACTCTTTCTCCTGTAAAAGCCACCAATAATTCTACTCAACCTGAAAACAGAAAAAGCCCTTGTAGTTGGTCTAGAATTTCTTGCAACCTTGCTGGAAGAATCAATAGATTTAACATGTCAATTTCAGGTTTAAAAGGTACGCTCAATGAATTGTCGTTCTCATCATTTCCCGATCTTGAATATGTTGATTTTGGCATAAATGAACTCTTTGGTGTTATCCCGACACAAATAGGTAATCTCTCAAAACTGAAGTATCTTGACTTGTCAATGAATCAGTTTTATGGGAAAATTCCTGTTGAAATTACCCTCCTAGGAGAGCTAGAAACCCTCCACTTGGGTGATAATCAATTAAATGGCTCAATTCCACAAGAATTAGGCCAACTGAGTTCCCTTAATGAGCTTACCTTATCTGGTAACCATTTGGATGGTTCAATTCCTACTTGTTTGAGTAATTTGAGCTATTTGGGTATTTTGTATCTTTTCAATAACTCACTTTCTGGTTCAATTCCTCCAGAGATGGGAAACCTCTCCAATCTCATTGAACTTGATGTAGATACCAATAGCTTAACTGGTCGAACCCCTCAAGTTTTGGAAACTTGAAAACCTAACTATATTGTACATGTTCAAAAACCAACTTTTTGGTTCCATTCCTCTACATTATATCTCTTTCAGAATTAAGCCTTTACTCCAACAATCTTTCTTGTTCAATTCCAGCATTACTAGGTGGTTTGAAAAACATCATCCTTCTTCAGTTGTATAATAATCAACTTTCTGATCAATTCCCGATGACATAGGAAATTTGAAGTCTCTTATGTATTTAGAATTAAGCGAAAATCAGCTTAGTGGTCGTATTCCTCCTTCTTTTGGTAATTTAACCGATTTAAAAACTCTTTATCTTCGTAACAACACTCTTTCCGGTTCAATTCCTCAAGAAATTGGAAATCTCAAGAACTTGTCTATATTGCCACTTGATAACAACCACTTCACTAGTTTTTTTACCCCAAAATATTTGCCATAGTGGTTTACTTGAGAACTTCACAGTGAATGGCAACCATCTTTGAGGTCCAATCCCCAAAGGCTTGAGAAACTGCACAAGCCTAAAGAGACTCTGCTTGGAAAAAAATGAATTTGTTGGTGATATATCAAAAGATTTTGGCATCTATCCACACCTCGAGTACTTAGATCTCAGCCAAAATAATTTTCATGGTGAAATCTCGTCTAACTGGGCAAAGTGTCCAAAATTAGGCACCCTAAAGATTGCAGCCAATAAAATTAGTGGCAGCATTCTAGTTGAGCTTGGAAACTTAACAAAACTCAGTAGACTTGATCTTTCTTCAAATCTTCTAGCTGGAGAGATTCCAAAAGAACTTGAAAATTTGAGTCTACTAGAGGAGCTGATTTTGAATGGGAACAAACTTTCTGGTGGTATACCTCTGGAAATTGGATCCCTCTCAGACATCACTCGTCTTGACTTGTCCGCTAACAAGTTGACCAAATCAATACCTGAAAATTTAGGGAACTTGTTGAAAATCTATTCCTTAAATTTGAGCAACAACCAGTTTGCCCAAGAAATTCCACCTCATTTGGGAAAGCTAAGTCAACTTTCAGAGCTAGATTTGAGTTATAATTTACTCAGAGGAAAGATACCTTCTCAAATATGTGATTTGGAGGTTTTGCAAAAGCTAAATCTCTCCCACAATAACCTTTCTGGGTTCATTCCAGGAGGATTTCAAAATATGTTTGCCCTGTCTAGCATTGACATTTCCTACAATGAGTTGGAGGGACCAATTCCAAATTCCACAGCGTTTCGAAATGCTTCCATTGAAGCATTACAAGGGAACAAAGATTTGTGTGGTGATGTTGTCGGATTGCAACCTTGTAATTCTTCTAAAGCTTTCGAATCAGGCAAACATGGAGTGAGCAAAGGTTTGTTGATCTTCCTGGTAATATTGTTCCCTATTTTAGCAGTGCTTGTTTTTTCAGTTGTGATAATCTGAATTCTCAACAGTTCCTAGAGAAGGAAAGGGGACTCGCAAGAACTAGAAAGCCATGATAATGATGGAGACATCTTTTCAATTTCAATTTTTGAAGGAAAAAAGATGTATGAAGAAATTGTGAAAGGAACAACTGATTTTCATTCTGATTATTGCATTGGGATGGGTGGTCAAGGAAATGTTTAAAAAGCTGAACTATTAGGGTATACTATAGCAGTTAAGAAAATCCACTCTCTGTCTACTGATTATATAGCAAATCAAAAAGAGTTCTTAAGCGAAATATAAGTATTAACAGTGATAAGGCATCGAAATATCGTGAAATTTTTTGGCTTTTGTTCACATTCTTGACACTCATTCTTAGTCTACATGTATCTCGAAAGGGCTAGCTTAGCCTCAATCCTGAACAATGAAAAAGCAGCAATGGAACTAGATTGGAGTAAGAGAGTGAATCTCATAAAAGGAGTAGCTCATGCCTTGTCTTACCTGCACCACGATTGTTTCCCACCAATCGTTCATCGAGACATATCAAGCAAGAATATACTGCTAGATTTGGAATATGAAGCTCATGTGTCAAACTTTGGAACAGCTAAGCTTCTTAACCTAGACTCGTCCAATTGGACCGAACTTGCTGGCACATACGGATATGTTGCCCCAGGTATCCTTATATATAATCTCTTCACCATTACTTCTCTTAGTTAAATAGATCAAAACAAACAATTTCTTGTGATACATATATTTCATTTTTTGTAGAGCTTGCTTACACAATGAAGGTAACAGAGAAATGCGATGTCTATAGCTTTGGAGTGTTGGCAATGGAAGTAATCCAAGGGAAACATCCAAGAGACTTTCTCTCTCAAATTTCAGGTTCATCTGCCAACATGAACATGGAGCTTGGTGATATGTTGGATCCAAGGCTTCCGTTTCCCTCCCTGGAAGTTCAGAACAAACTGATTTCCATAAAGGAGGTGACCCTTTTATGCTTAGATATAAATCTAGGGACTAGACCCACCATGCATATTGTGGCTCAATTCCTGTAAAACTAAATCAATTCCTTTCTCAAGTCATCACACTACATTACTTTCTAGAAGATGAAGCCGATTACATATAGTTGTTGTTTTTTTTTTTTTTTTTTTTTTTTTTTTTTTTTTTTTTTTTGGTGTTTTTTTTTCTAAATTTCATGATGTAGCAAGTACTATCATTTGGAGATTAATATCATTGAGACTTGAGAGTGATATGTAAAAATTGCAAAAATTCTCCATTACTTAGCCATTAGGAAGGACCACAAAGTTCTTGATTTACATAATTGATTGACCACTAGAAATTACTTTGAGACTAAAAAAATTATTGTTCAACCCATTTGAAGAGATTTCTTTATTAATTTTATGAAAATTTTAAAAAAATTTATATACTTTATTATCAAAAAATTTATACTGAAAATGGTGTAAAAATTGATGGAAGAGAAAAGGAATGCAAAACAATAATACTATGCATACTAACGAATTTTACTAACTAGCGTACTAACCTAAATCATAGTACGGGTACCATACTCATAGTACGGGTACCATATGTAATTTTAACAAAAGTTAGTACGCTAATTAGTAAAATTAATTAGTACGCACAGCATTACCCAATGCAAAAATGTTGCATTTTTCTGGGTTTGGAAGTGACTCAAGCCTGAGTCACGTTCGCCCAGGGCCAGGCCCACCGACTGAAGCCCTTGGAACACTTGGGTTGGCCCAAACCGGTTTTTTTTTTATTTTTTTTTATTTTTGTGTGTGTGTGTTATTCAAACCGAATTTTAATATAATAATTAAAAATAAATTCAGCATTATAATTTCATTTAAAATTTTAAATGTATTTAATAATTATAATAGTACTAATTTATTTATTTTTTAAATAAATTTTCTTTTCTTTTCTTTAAATGATATTGAAAATGAATTTTACTACAATTGAAAATATTTAAGACAATATCAAATGTAACAAAAAATAATTATGTATTAATTCTCGTCACAAAATTTATATATATCTAAACGAAACCAAATGTTAAAAATGATTTTAAATGTGATGAATTCGAACTTAAAATTTTTACCTTCAATTACAAAATAGCCCTCACTCATATATTTTTTCTCTGTATTTCTTTTTGTTTGGCTACTAGGAAAATAGAAAGAAAATTTATTGATTTTTTCTTTCTTTTATGTTTCTTATTTTTCCTTTTTTCATTAAGTCATAGTAATGACTGATTCGCTTTTCTGTTGTATATTGCATGACTTACAATTAAATTTATGTTGATTTCTACTTATGATCATAAAAGAATGACCTATTATTGTTTTAATTATTTGGTTTCCCGATGCATTTAAACAAAATGAAGGAGTTTTTTCTTGTCTATTTTCCCAGTAACCAAACACTATATATGTTGCTCGGTAATGCAAAAAATGGTACTCCCTTTTTCTTGATGTTAATCTTTGAATGAGATACAAGATCATGATGTGTTATATAAATAAAACTTGGCTAAAGTAATTACTTTTTGTGTCCCAAATGTTACATCAAAATAGGTTAAGTAACAGTTTCCAATTATAATGAGATAGCTTCTTTATTGCTAAATAGAATCGTTTCATAGATACTCTATTGTGCTTTGTTAAATTTATGAACAAGCTCATATTATAAACAAAGAAGTTTCTATTTTGTGGAAAAGACCACTAAGGTCCGGTGGATAATGAAGGCCCATTGGGATTTGGATTCTGACTTTTAGACAGAATGGCAAGTAAAATTTTGAATAGGTGGGAGTCCATTCAAAACAAGAATAACTCTCAGATGATGAACGCCAATTTGTTTTGGGTTACCTTTTATTTCTCTTTAAAGTTGCAACATTTACATTGTTGCTGCACCAATGCATCAACCAATCATCCTGCACTCATTCAATAACATTCAAAATCCGGTAGATAAACCCTAAAGAAGAAGCTGCCATTCATATTCTATTTTATGATATAAATATATTCCAACCAGGTTGTAAGAAGAAACAAATTAATTCATCATCAAATGTCCCAAAAATTAAAATTCACATTTTAATCATCTATTCAAGCGTTTACATCCAAAACCCTAAACCAATCTTTAAAACAATTTTAATACAAAAATAAATAAAGCCGCAAAAACAAATCTACCTCATTTCAATGTGCTAACATTAAGCCACCAATAATAATCCAAACAATATTGATAATTGCCATGCCATCACCACCACCACCAGAATTCATATAAGGTACTGAAGCCGGAGCTGGAGCAGGAGGAACTTGTAAAGTCGTATGAGCTACAAGACTAGTCGTGAGCAAATCGCGAGATTTCACAACGAAGAAGTGCTTGAAATCGCAGCTCCCAGTTGCACTGCTGATGAAGTATCGTGTACCAGTTTGAGTCATCTCCATCTGGGTTAGACCATCCTCATAATTGCTAATTGGGTTTGTAGTATTGCAATTTATGTATCCACGGAAATTCACCTCTGTAAGGGTATAGCTCGGCTCGTAATTAAACACTGCTCCAACAAGTCATATGATAGCACATTCAAACCACTATGATCATGCAAATTCTTTGAATTTATTAATAAAACAAAGACACTTAGGGCTCTACTAAACTTCGTGGGGGATAATATTTTCTTTCAAAACTCTTTAACTGCACAATACCTGTTGGTGGTATCACAGCCTTAATAAAAATCCACACTAACTTCACAAAACAAGCCTTCTTTTTTCTTTCATTATCTATATAGCTAGAAGTATTCGTATGAAGAAAAATTGTGTCTCAATATTTGTGGGATTAATCGAAGATTCGAAGAAAGCTATCAAGAAGAAGGAGCTCATTTTTAAAGGTGCAAAAATTGTGAAAAAATTGCACTCAAAAGATGCATGGTAAAGTCTAAAAAAAGGAGTTTGAAGGATCTACCAAGCCATCTCCATTAATGTGCAATCACTGTAGAGGGACTTTGATCTTTTAGAAATCAAAGAGAGTGAAAGCATTCAACAATGTTCTATAGAGTATAAGAAAATCTCAACCAAATTACAATATTCGGTGACGAGATTCAAGAAGAAAGTTTAGTTGAAAAAATTCAAGTTTTACTCCAAAATGTGGACACATAGCTACCACAAATTAATGAAGAATCCAAGATCTGCAACTACATACTTTTCATCAACTAATGTTGGAGTCTCTAAAGGCACATAAGCAAAGAGTCAAGAGACACGTAACTTACCTTTAGCTCAAGCAATACTATTAAATACGAATTGATGCATAACAAGTCAAATGTTATGGATGTAATCTTTATCGTTAAAAGTATTATGTATGGATTTAAGATAGCTAACTAAGATGAAATGTTAATCTCTTCAATATTCCTAGCTATCAGTGACATAGAAGACAACACGAAAGGAAAAAGAGAGAGAAGCTAACCTATTCTGTCATTAACGTATATAGTGTTGTTCTTGTCCCATTCAAGAAAGTTGGTTTCCAGAGACCATGGGAGGTAATGAGTTGTTTGTCCGACAACATCTGTTATATATTGAGCAATAATCCATAGTATTAGGACTGTGATCTTCTTTCCCATTACAGAAGGCCTCACTGTCTTCATTCCCACCATCACCGAAACCAAAGAAAAATGCATTAGATGATGTCCAAGTCAATTACTAAGCAATATTTGCTTTCAATTTAGCCATGCACAGTTATGCTTTTCTGTTGTAACCCTTAAAGGTAGAAAGCTAGTTTATAGCAAAGACATTTCGAAACTTTGATATGTCAAAGGAGAAAAGCTCGTTAATAAAACCATTATAAAGAGCCTGTGTTATGTAACAGTTACATTACATAATCAAAACAATTCCAAATTTAAGAAATCAAACAATTTGGCAACAAAAGGGTGCAATTGAACAACAAAACCCGGGAAAAGAAAAGATATTATCCATGAGTACTATATATTAATAATCCACAAGATTCGGTAAAGATATAAAACCTTATAAACACTTCCCAGCAATCACGTTCCTCCCCTTCCTAAATCAAAAAACAAACAAAGCAGCAAGATTATTAGATCGTTCATAAATAATAAACAAAACTCAAATAGAAAGAGAAATAATAATAGGAATAGCCAACCAAAGATTCAACACTAACCCTAGTTTTAGAAAGAGGATTTGGGATCACAAGGAATAGCCAACCAAAGATTCAACACTAATCATAATCTTAACACAGATCATATAGAGAAAACAAATTACGTACCAATGATTCAAAGATAAAATTGGCGTGCTCTTTGATATCGAAAGATCTTATCGCCCACGAATTGATGTTATATGAGAAAAAGATCTTATATATAACTCTCCAAACGTAAACCCTAGTAAAGATTATTAAAATATTTTAATCTCCATGTTAGGGTTTTGACTGCAAAAAATCAAAAGGGGAAATTGCAGCTTTGTGAAAACGCAAAAGGGGGAAAAAAATTTCGACTTAGATTGTGAGTTATTCATTTTTTATTTCAGTGACGTCGAGTTATTTGAGTTGATAGTCACTTTTAACACCTCTAAATTGGATTGAAAATTGTAAAAACAGTTCAAGTAAAGAATTCTAGTTCATGCAGATGCAAGAAAGGGTAGTAAAAACCGAAAAAGAAACTGAGTAAATGTAATATTTTCAGTCTATCTCATATGATAAGGGTAATTCCACTTACGACCCTCAAAGTTTAGGAAATTAATTAAACAAGACCCCTGAAGTATGAAAAACCATCAATCATTAACTTCTCCTCAGATTTGAAAAAAAAAATTATCACTTACCTACCCTTGACCATGAAATTTAACGGTCAAACTTTAACTAACTAGGGGAGGAAATATATAATTTCTAATCCCTGTGAGGCTTTTCAGGGTTTTCTTAAACTCAAGGGAGGTAGGGTAATAACCGAGGAATTGAAAATCTCGTTGGAAACCTCACGTTTCTACATTATTCCAAATTACCCTTGGGCCCTGTTGCGCCGACGCTAATGCTGTTTACTTGGACCTAACCACTTACTGGGGAAAAAAAAAAAAAAAAAACACTTTTCTCAAGGTTTGTGGAATGATCATAAATTCGTAATACCCTTTTGGACATTTTTGCAAATGTTGTTTACCCAAAACTAACTGATAACGGGAGGGAAAAACGATTTTCCAAACATTGAAGAAATGACCATAGTATCCTTTTTAACCTATGTGATTTAGAATTATATAATTTTTAAAATTCATCTCAATTTCATAAAATTTCTTGTATATAAAACTGCCTTTCTAATTTCTTGAAAACTATATAGAATAAAAAATCAACGGTAACAAAGGTTATGAAAAATTATACAACTCTAACTTGACATAATTTTTCTTTTTTATTATTGCTTAACACTATTAGAAACTTTGTTTACACCGATGCGGTAACCGCGTCAACACACAGAAAAGCTGTGTTGAGCCAGCTCTTTCCCTAGCGCAAGGAAAAATATGCCAACAATAGGTTCGTCTATCGTCGTTGGGGATAATATCCCCTTATGCCAATCCACTCATCGGTGTACCGTGTACATTTCCTTAACACCGACATTCAAAACTCAGCCGTTTATAAACACGAGAAAATAAAAGGACAGAAGAGGCAAGTAAAAAACAAATACAAAAACTAAAAGCTTTCATACAACAATAATTTTCAGAAATCAACTTAGGTTAGATAAGAGAACATGAAGAGTTTAATTAACCATGATAGAGGGAAAGAAATTAACCTACATTTTAATATCCTATAATAAAGGAGCTGCAGCTGGAACGACAGAGAACGATCCCAAGTAGATGGATCATGACAAAATCAGTAGACGTTGTAATAGCAGAGAGATAGCTGAACAGAAGGAAGCCATTTCCATCGTTAAGATAACTGAGCTCACTCATCCTCTCCACAGGCTCCTCCATCTCGGTAGAGAACATATCGAAAAGATGAACAGCTACTGCTTTCTCTAAACTCAACTCAAAGAAGTGAAGCGACGTCATACTGTTGAGAAGGATACTCCCTTGGACAGTTGCCGACGTGAAATATTCCATGCAAAACTGTGGATTCGGAAAACTCACAATAGATATTCCTATATGGTTTCTCAATAAATTCACAATAGAAAGAAGAGCCTTTATGGGAAGCCGGTCGCTGATGTTACTGGATACAACTTTTTCGATTAGACAATTTTTCTTCGCTGTCATTAGCATTTGATTTATGCTTCTTGTACTGGAGCGCCGAGTTAACAATGTAAATTAATTTCATAGGTTCGTCTTGCGCAGTAGCTGTTGAACATATGATGTTCAAGTTAAAATATTACATAATACTCTATAATATATTTTATGAAAATTGTCATTCTCTTACGATTGTGTTATTTATGTATTAAATATTTAAATTGTTATCAAACTGAATATGCATAACATTAAACTGAATATCAATGTAAATCAACTAGGTTTGATTCAGATTTTGTTGAACTTATACCAAATTAAATACTGTCGAGTTGACGGGAAAAAAAACAAGTATATTTTAGAAACTCAAAATCAAACCAAACCGATTTGAATTGGTTAATTGGTTTAAATCGATTATTAAGTAAATTTACATCAAAAGTAGTACATATTTTGTTGAATGAAAATCTTCATTTTTGAACAGTAGCATATATACATATATATATATATATATATATATATATAAAATTAAGGCAGTAGAGTCTTAAGTTTATAATTGTTTGCTTGATTAACCCTTCACCCACCGTTGAGTCACCGTCGCTAAAATGTTAAATATCTAATGAACACTAGATGAGAAAGGAACCTTAATTTTAAAAGTTGGAATATAGAGAGTTTTTTATTTGTACACAGGAGGACTTGGTCGATGGATGATGTTAAAATAATAGAAAGTCATTGAACTACGACTTTGGAAATTTCGTGTTAGCAACAATGCAATATGTTAATACATTTGTCTGGATCAGTTAATTGACACCCCTAGTTTACTGAAAGAACATGCTCACCCACAAGTTTCAAAACTAACATTTGTACCCCTATATACCAGATTTCGTTGGTAAAAATGGCATTTGACTAAGAAATTGTGTTAAAAAATCTAAAATGCACTCAATTATAAAATCAATGCAAAACCAAACCTCGGTCTTCGAAACCCAAATAGGAGGACTTGAAACTTCAAAGAACATAAATCAAGAAAAGCCTGGGATTGATGCGTTCATGGTGTGGTGGGTCAATCGTGGCAACGTCGTGAGCCAATCTTCGCCCATCCTAGCTTGCGGTGTTGGACACTCATGTGGACTGCAAGAGACCACGTCGCAGCAACGATCGACACTCCAGGCTTTATCATCACCGGTTCCCTATGCCGTATGACGTTTCCAGTACACCGGACAAGACTTCGATCATCGTCAGTGATTATACAAAGTGATCATGCCATCCTCTTTCTTAATAGTGTGTAAAAAGTTTTTTTAGATTAGATTGATTTTTTAATTATTTTAGATTTATTTTATTACGTTTTTAGATTTGTTTGATTTATTAACCATCCAAGAAAATTATTCCATTAAAAGAACAATAAAACAACTATTATTAAAGATCTACAATACCATTATTTCTTCTTATTCATTTGAAGGAATGGAAGTGGTATAATATGTTGAAAACATTGTAATAATGACATTCCATATTATTTATGTAATCATACAACAACAACAAAATGTAAATTAGCTTCTTTTACTATCATAAAAGGTGTATTAAATATTAAAATATTAAATCATACAAGCTTTCTATAGATCGGTAATTTTTTCACAAAGTAATCAATTCGAATGATTGTGTTGTAGATTAGGGCATTGGTTTTGATCAAATTAATCAAAATTTATAAATATTTATAATATTAATCGTTAATATGTTTTTTTTTTTTAATTCGAAATTTGTAAATTTAAATTATAAAATGAATTAATATTCAATAAACACCTTTCACCATGGAAAGAAAGGTAAGTATGAAACTGTAAGATTTTGAATATATTAGGGTAAAGGGTACTTCAGCTAAACCTTTAGAACGAAAGTGTTATTCCCTGGAATCAGCTGGGTTATTGCTTGGACATTTTCCAAACAATGACAAATACAGAGTCGGTAGAACAACCTGATAAATATTGCGTTTTCTTTATTCTCAAGAGGTGTAAAGTTTTCCCTTTCCCATCACTTTCGTAGGTAAAGTATATTCAAAAAAAGTTATTAAACATTTCCACTAGGCTTCATTTAATAATTATTATTTTTGTTAGTCTTTTAATAAGATTTTTATAGTTTGAATAATATGTATTATATTTCCTAGTTGTTCCATTAAATAATTCATCAACGTCATCGTCACTTAACTTGTTTTCTTAGATCATTCAGTTCATGCAAAAACATATTTTCGATTTTCATCAGAAACAAGACCATCCTAGAGTTTGAGGTTGTTCATCGGAGAAGATATATAATTATATATTACAAACCTCTGCACTATGTAGCTAACATCAAACCCACGGAGAAGATCCAGCAAAAGATTGGTCAAGAGAAATATAATTCAGATTTGGGACGTGACATGATATTTGTATGATATCTTCGTGGTAATCTTAGAATTTTTCTCTCTAATTGATCCAGCAAAGGCAGGTTTTGTTTGAGGATGAATCTGACACCGGTATTAATGGTGACTTGCATATATCTGAACTAAAAAAACTCTACTGATTGTATGAAATGGGTTGCAATTGAGTCGAACCGAGCCAAGAGCTTGAGCTTGGTTCTGTTGGAATAGCGAACCTTGATCTGGAGCTCGACCATGACCGAGCTTCAATTGTCAAGCTCGATAAATATATGATAAGTCGAGCTCGACTCAATTACAACGAATCAAAATCGAGCTCGACTCAATTATAATTATTAATTATATATATATATATACACCGAGCTCAAGTAAGCTTACGAAGCTGCTTAAATCGAGTATTATACTATTATTAGGCTCGCTAGCGACTTGTCTCATTTGTAGGCCTGGTATGAATCTGAAGAAATAAAAAATATTTACTTTGAATTTGAATAAATATTTATTTTATAGTTGTTGATTAAATGTTCTATTCGCTGGTGGTTGTTGACGTTTACTGGTATTATTTTTTTCTCATATTGTAATTTTTTAATATTATAATGTCAAATGACATTTATACCCTTAAGCTCCTTTGGATTTATTATTTTTCTAGCATCCAAGAGAAAAAAGTTTTATCACTTTTATCCCTTTTATTTAAATTTTTTTTTTTAATTTTAAGTTGTTATATTTTTTATTCATGAATTTAAATTGTCTTCTTATTTCTCAAGATTTGTATAAGAAAGTTACTGTTTGATTCAATTTATTATTATTTTACCTCAAATAATAAATAATTATAGGGTAATACTATACTTATAAACCTTTTTTATTAACTTTTTTTTATAAACACGACATGACAGCTCGTAATTGGTCAAATCGCAATAAGTTTTACTTGTCCAATAATGAATCTCATCTGATTAATTGCGAGATGACCAATTATGAGTTGTCACTATAAGCTGTCATGTCGCGTTATGAGAGAAAGTTAGTAAGAATGGTCTACTAACCTATCTTTATTGATAATTATAAATGAATAATACTACACATATATCATTCACATATAATATTTTTCATACAACATTATGTGGCAATATGTGATTGGGTGAAAGTTTAATTTTAATTTTAAATTAACTAATCATATCATGCCACATAATGTTGTGTGAAAAATGTTGTATGAAAATAATGTATGTGTAGTATTACTCATTATAAATAGAATTAGTGAGAGTAAGGCACCAACAAGGCATCTCCTTCTGCAGTAGAATTCTACAACCTCTCATCCATAAACTTAGAAAGTTGATTGACAACTGTTTTAGTCTGGAATAGGGAGGAAATATGAATCGTCATTTCTTTTTTTCTTTTTTTTTAATGAT